ATGTGACTTTTTACTCAATTTTGCGAATATTTACTTTTCTTACAGTCGCCTGGTTATCGTTACTACCCTATCATTGCTTGTCTATCGATAGTTTAGAGTCTCTAAGTGTGGCCATTCCACGAATGGCGTGCCTTTTTATATGCTGAAGAAAGTGTGGTATTTTTACCTATCAATATACAGGCACTCTTTTTTTCAACATAGTTTATATTTCACAAATATACCATATACCGAAAATTCAACCAAAAAATAGATTTATATTGTGTTGGTTTTTTGGCGCCGCGACCACATATTTCAAAGGAAATATATTAAACTTATTTGAACTCAAATTGACGCAATTAGATAGTAATAATGAACAAAGTTAAGGTAGAACGTGGTGAGGACGGACTCATTAAAGGCAAAGTGAAGAGACTGTACCACCAGAGATATCGCGCCGAGTGGGAAAGAAACCCAGAGTATTCGAGTTGGCTGCGCCCAAGCAATGACGGTTATTCAGCTCATTGCCAAATATGCGATGCGGATATGTTGGCCAGGTTGGCCTCCGTCAAACAGCACCACAACACCAGGAAGCACCAGGAGAGCATTAAGTGCAACGCGTTCCTATCAATGGTGAGCATAAGCAAACTAATATAACCAGAACAATGGCGGAACAAAAAAAAAACAAACAACTAACATTTTTTCCAAACACTAACTCTTTCAGAATATGATTAAAAGCGAACATGGCATTACCTTCGAAGCGAAGCATAAACCAAAGGCTAAGCCCAAATTCAAGCCAAAAATGAAGGTCGCTGCAAAGATAGAGCACATAGAGGAACAGGAAATGGTGTCCAACGATGACTCCATACTAGACGATTTGCTCGGAAACGATTCGCCGGAGGGGAAATACGTATATGAAGCGGAACACGTGGACGGTACGGAGATGCAGCAAGGCTACGAGCATGTGACCGAGGAGCTGGAAGCCGAGGAGTTGCATATGAAGCACGAAGATGATAACGGGATTCGACTGGACGATATACAGGAAGTGTGTATACCCGAGGAAAACATAATCAGCGAATTCGATTTGTTCGGCAAGAGTGTGGCGCTGCAGTTGAACAACATGGATCTGGAGGACGCTCTTATGTGCCAAGAGCGCCTGCAGGTGGTCCTCACCGAGTTTCGTCTTACAATACTTAAGCGTAGTAGGGACGCAAAACGCTCTACATAATCTTACATATTTTGATGTATATCTTTCTTATGTTTCTTATGTACGTGTAGAATAATTGAAAACTGCAAATGCTTAATAATAATAATAACTATTCCGCTTCTATTTCGTCTATAAAAGCGCGGCATTTCTTTTTTAAGACTTTGACAGCTTCCAGGAAGATCACGTCTGGCTTGAGAGACCCCACAGACTCGACTGTGAATATATAATGATCTCGGACACGCCCCAGTGTTACAGAGTCCTCCAGCTGGGGATAGCGGTAGACATTGCGACTGCAGCTGTCGTAGCGGGCGTCCTTCACATAGGCACACTCATTCTCATCGATTCCAATGACACCGGGCGAGAAGCAGCTCTGCAGCAAGTAGGCATCCTTGCCGGAAACCTCGCGATTCAGCTTGATCTGTGGCAATAGGCGATAGTAGGCAGTTGCCACCGGCGAGAACTTGGCATGGTCTTTACCCAGCCCCTTGACAGCTACCAAACGCAAATCCAGCTCGTGCCCTGGTCGCAGTTGTGCAATGAGTATGTCCTCGTTAATGCAGTTTACCATGCTCTCGCTGTAAATTTGTGCCTGCTTTCCCTTGGGCAGCCATTTTAAATGTCCCGAATAGACCTTGTGGTTCTTGTAGATGTCATCAAAGTTGGATTGATCTTTGCTGGCATCCTTGCGGCGGGTACACTTGACTTTAAGCTCGTACTCAAGAGTATCCTGCTCGGTTCCAGCGTCGCCGCTCTCTTCAGTGCGATACGCAAATAGCCTGGGGTCGGCCTTCAAGGGCAGGAGTCCCATACGATGTGCCAGCACTTCGTCTTGTATAATGGAAGTGTTGTTATATATGTACACCTTCTCTATGGCCATGCTGGGAACCTCGCTGAGCATCAAGCGGCGAAAGGCGTTGGCTATGGCCGGATACACGCCTATCATGTCAAACTCCAAGCCGTCCTCGTCGTTTCTGCAATAACAGAATGCATATTCTGTCTTAGGAAACCAGAAGTCATAAGTTCTTTCTATTCTTACCGAATGATGGCCACTTGCAGTTTCTTTTTAAAGACTTCCATGTTAAACACATCGTCGGCCAGTCCATAGTCCTGTGGATCCTCTTTGACTCTATGCTCCTCCATGTACAGCAATGGCTCCTTTCTGTTGGTACTGGACATTTTAGCTAATATTTAGGAGACAACAAATTTATTTACTGCACGTGTTGAGTCGAAAATAGTGCCGATATACCAACATTAAGTTGGCAGCACCAATTTAAGAACAGCTGTGATTCCGTTGCGAATGTCAGTTTAATAAGAATAAGAAACGGACCGGCGAGATTTATTCTCCAGCCGATTTACGTAAAAGTGGAAAATCCATAAATTGGCCCGATAAGATGTCACGTTCTTTACAACGTATGCTGGGTAGCTGTAGGCGATTGGTCCAGCAGCCCGTCTTCCGCCCACAACGTACTTTTGCTGCCGCGCCAGATCCCGTTAAGGGCAAGGGACCGATATCGTGGAAAGGCTTGGCTGTTGTTGGAGTCCTGGGAGCCGGCGGTTTGGGATTCATGCTATATGTGAAGAGCGAGAAGGATGAGGCACGAATGTTGGAGCGTAAGAGGCAACTTGGCAAGGCAGCTATTGGGGGGCGTTGGGACTTGGTTGACTCGCAAGGACAAGTGCGGAAATCAGAGGAATTTCTGGGAAAATGGCTGCTTATATATTTTGGCTTCACCAATTGTCCAGACATTTGTCCCGATGAACTGGAGAAAATGGCGGCTGTCGTCGATGAAGTCGGTGGGTAGAAAGATAAAAATATCAACACGCTGAATGTGATTCATCCTGGTTGTCGCGTTACAGAAAAGTCTCCACAGACGCCGGCAGTGCAGCCTATATTCATAACAGTGGATCCAGAGCGTGACTCCAAGGAAGTGGTCGGAAAATATGTCAAGGAGTTTTCACCAAAGCTGCTGGGACTAACTGGCACCGTCGACCAGATACGAAATGTGTGCAAGGCCTTTCGCGTTTACTTCAGTGCCGGTCCACGCGACGAGGATAACGATTATATTGTGGATCACACCATTATCATGTATTTAGTCAACCCAGACGGAGAGTTTGTCGATTACTACGGTCAGAACAGGGATAAGGAGCAGTGTGTGGCTTCGATTCTGGTCAATATTGCCAAATGGAATTCGCTCAACAAAAAGGGTTGGTTTACCTAGGCTGGGCAACACCTTGCGAAATTAAAATGTTAGCTTTGTTTTTTCATCTTTATAGCTGTGCTGTCAAGAATTGTAGCAACAGAACAAAAAGTAAATAATAAAATTTCAAATTTAATTTGGTCTAAAATAAAGCAAGTTGGCAGCGTAGCTGCATAGTATTTTCATTTACGCCAGGCTGGCAGCTCTTTTTGATTTGTAGTGCTGCGTGGATGTAGAGATTATTTTTTTCTCGCAATAAATTAATAATAAATACAAAATGGTGCGTGATAAATAAAAAAAACAGATTGAATGCTTAATTCTAAAAGTTATTTGCAAGGGGATTGCAAGAATTTCGACTAGTTTATAGGTATCACGGTTTTTGTGATTCGGTGAAAAACATAACCTTAAAAGGCGGTTCATTGTTGGCTAAAATTTGCAAAAATAATCTATTTACAGCGTCCGTTGATGCTGCAAGGCCACGAGCGTTCCATAACGCAGATCAAATACAATCGCGAGGGAGATTTGCTCTTCTCCTGCTCGAAGGATCAGAAGCCCAATGTATGGTACTCGCTGAACGGCGAACGCCTGGGCACATACGATGGGCATCAGGGCGCCGTCTGGTGCCTGGATGTGGACTGGGAAAGCAGGAAACTGATCACCGGTGCGGGTGATATGACAACCAAACTCTGGGACGTGGAATATGGCACCATCATTGCCTCCATCCCCACCAAGTCGTCGGTGCGTACCAGCAATTTCAGTTTCTCTGGAAACCAGGCTGCCTACTCCACGGACAAGGCCATGGGACAGAACTGTGAGCTGTTCATCATTGATGTGCGCAATGCCGACTCATCTTTGGCGGATCAGACGCCCACTCTGCGTATACCCATGACCGAATCGAAGATCACTTCCATGCAGTGGGGTCCCTTGGATGAGACCATCATTACAGGTTAGATTACAGGTCTTTCAGGGAGATGTTCCTAAATAAATAATATGCATTTCTGTATAGGTCACGACAATGGCAACATTGCCATCTGGGACGTTCGGAAGGGCCAGAAGGTTGTCGACTCTGGAAGCGATCACGCTGCTGGAATCAACGACATGCAGCTGAGCAAGGATGGCACCATGTTCGTGACCGCCTCCAGGGATACCACGGCCAAACTGTTCGACTCCGAGTCCCTGATGTGCCTGAAAACCTACAAGACGGAACGACCCGTCAACTCAGCAGCCATAAGCCCAATTCTGGATCACGTTGTGCTGGGCGGAGGACAGGATGCCATGGAGGTGACCACAACATCGACAAAGGCTGGCAAATTCGATTCGCGTTTCTTCCATCTGATCTATGAGGAGGAGTTTGCCCGTCTCAAGGGACATTTCGGTCCCATTAACAGTTTGGCCTTCCATCCGGATGGCAAGAGTTACGCCTCGGGCGGTGAAGACGGTTTCGTGCGTGTCCAAACATTCGATAGTACATACTTTGAGAACATATTCGAGTAATCCACCCAATAGTCTGTAGTATTTATGTGGAGGGAAGGCGCTGCCAGTGAAGACGGGACCTAATCCACACCTCATTCACTGGTGCCATGTTCATGTGCATAGAGAATTGTCAAATATACGCGAGAACGAAAAGAAATACGCTTCGTTTATTAAGTAACATTTAGGATTAACATCAGATTACATTCGTATGTATAGTTTTTGCATAATCAGAAAAAGGAACGCTTCTTTTGCTTCAAGACCACCGCCTGGCCCTGCATGGCCGCCCACTGTGCCGGTGTGGGCAGGCATCCAGGCGGTGGCGGCGGAATAACTACAGAGCCCGAAGGAGTGGTCCTGACCTCAGCTCGGGAATCCAACTGAAGAACGTGTGCGGCCGCGGCTCCAGCCGATGTGCTCGGCCCAGCCAGACCATAGCCAGTGCCGTGATGAACGGGCATCCCATGGCTTTGCTGTGCACTAAATGGCCCCGGTCCCTGCTGATTATGACTAATCATGCCGTAATACTGATTTTGTCCTGGTGCCGCAGTGTAGGATGCCTGATGCCCAAAGCCTCCACCACTATTCCGCTGACTCTCCTCATACGTGGGAGGTGGGGCGCGCTGCAAAGAAAGCGTATTAAATCGTAGACATTTTTCAAATCAAGAGTGGAATGTCTTGTGTACCATCGCAACAGAGTCCGCGGCACTGGAGTGTTTGTAAGACGGAGCAGACGCCTCACTTAAAGGATTACCTTTCGAAGAATTCGACATTGATATTTCTTTGTCTGTTTACGTTTTTTTTTGTGATTCAGGTAGGGCTGCCGACTATTCGAAGGGTTGATAATTGCGCAATTGAACGATGGTTATTCGACCATCGATATATGATATATCGTTTCAGAGCAAACGTAAGATTTAGAAAAGCTACAACCACAAAATCACAGACAAATACAAAGACAAGCTGTACAATTTCCTGAGAAGTCAAATGCATAGCATGATTCCATTCTGGAAGGTTAATATGATGATTAAATAAACTTAACTGTACGAATTTTTAAATTTGTTTTTATTATTTGGATATATCGATGTTTTAAACAACCGGAACAATCATGGAAACAGCTGTTCCCTTCAAACGGGAAGAAGAAGCGAGCCGTGGTCTGCCAAAATCTGCGAATTCAATACAAATTTCATCATAAAGACTGTTTATCATAGTTTTTAGTATACAACAACGGGTATTTGTGTATAGTTAAACTATGGCGCACGCCACACCACAGGTAAGTGCAAATTTCCAATTCTCAGCCAACCCGCGCCTCTCTCTCACATATCTGTGACGCAATAGCTCGGTAAATGTAAACTTTAACTCTAACAAATGTTTTACCTTCGTAGGGCTTAAAGCTGTTGAATGGCTGGAGGCGTCCAGGTCGCTTTGACAAGGGTTTGGGAGCCCAGCTTCCCGATGCCTACAAGAAGTTTTGGCGGGAATGGAAGCTAACGAAGCCAGCCGCTGTGCATTATATACCCAAGGAGAGCGAGTGGGAGCGCGACGAGGTCACAAATGCCATTAAGCCGGTGCAGGATATTCCTCTGCCCCTCATTGATACCCCTGAATCGCACCAAGGAATTTGGGGTGGCGAGGCAGTGATCAAGGGCTTCCAAAAGCGGAATCAGACGAAGCGGCGCGTTCCACACTTTTGGGTGCCTCAGCTCCGTCGCTCCGTAGTACACAGCCAGGTTCTGAACGAGTACATTTCCGTAGTTGTTACCGAGCGCACGCTGGATCAGATTCATGAATGCCATGGCTTTGATCATTATCTGCTAAAGAATTTGGCCTGCGACCTGCGTTCGGCTTTGGCCCTGAAGCTGAAGCGTCAACTTCTGCTAGCGCTCAACGCAGGCTGCCCCGCCTTGGCAGATGAGCCTCAGCACCAGCAGGAGGTCCTCAAGGAATACAGCCGGTACTTGGAGCCGTATACACCCGAGGAAATCGATTGGTATGGTCACACATACCTGGAGGCCATTCGTAAGCTCCAGCAGCAGCAGCGCGATGCGGAAAACGTAAAGCCTCACAAGGTGGAGTTTCGTAGTAAATTGATTGAACAGCTCAGGGAAGCGGGCATCAGAGAAGCGGGCAAGCTTGAAAGACCAGATGTACTGGCAGCGACTAGCGAGCACAAGGATGCGGATATTGAGGCTTTGACCAAGCTGTTAGTATTGTTTGAGTGTCCTTTATGCATATTGTCTCATATTTATTTTCCTTCATTACAGGGAATCTTCGCCCTCGTCCAACAATTGGCTGTCGAAGATCAATCCATTTGGCAAGAAGGAGACCTAAGGCCGTGTCCACACTGTTTGTTTTTGATCTGTGTTGAGCTCGGAAAAAATAAAACATATTTTGTGGTGTCCGTAGTTCAAATCCAAGTCCACAAACTTATTCTTGACTTAATGCAACTATTCGTTATATTTGGTAGAAAAGAATATATAAACAAACATAATCAAAAACAGAACAGAAAGAACGCTGCTAAGTAGAAAAAGGAATGATTGCAAATCCCACAGAGAACACAGAGAACGAACATACAAGTTGTAAACCCAATACACTGTTGACTTTCCTAAGACTATTTTATCTATAATTTATAGCTCCGCAAGGACGGGCGGGGCAGAGAGCTTTGTGCCGTTTGCTGCAGTCCTAGTCCAGGGTTGAGGTCGACCCTGCTTTATTCTATGCAATGGGATTCTTCTTCATGAGCTCTATGTCGGCAGTCATCATGTCGCTGACGAGCTGCAGGAAACTCCACTTTGGTGTCCAGTTCAGCTCACGCTTGGCCTTAGAGGCATCTCCCAACAGAAGGTCCACCTCCGTGGGTCGGAAATACTTAGGGTTTATGCGAACGCGAACAGTGTCGGTGCTACTTTCGATGCCTACTTCCTCAACGCCGCTGCCTTTCCACGTTATCTCACGTCCAATGTGCTTGAAGGCGGCCTCAACAAACTCACGTACACTGTGCGTCTCTCCGGTGGCAATCACATAGTCCGATGGACTGTCACGCTGCAACATCATCCACATGGCCTCCACGTAGTCACTGGCGTGCCCCCAGTCGCGCTTCGAATCCAAGTTTCCGAGCTCAAAGTACTCCATTTGGTTCAGGAGAATCTTTGCAACGCTTCGCGTGATCTTTCTGGTAACAAAATTCTCCCCGCGCCTCGGACTCTCATGGTTGAAGAGGATTCCATTGCATGCGTACATATTGTAGGCCTCCCTGTAGTTGATGACTATCCAAAAGCCGTACATCTTGGCGCAGGCTGTAGGAACAAGAGTTTAGACTGGAATCGATTGGACTTATTTCGATTTCTCACCATAAGGCGACCTTGGATAGAAAGGGGTCTGCTCATTCTGTGGCGTCTCCACGACTTTACCATACAGCTCCGATGTGGATGCCTGATAGAACCGCACAAGTTTCTCGATACCACAAGTGCGGATGGCATCGAGGATGCGTAGAGTGCCTACCGCATCCACTTCGGCCGTATATTCACTCAAATCGAAGGATACTTTCACGTGTGATTGTGCTGCCAAGTTATAGATCTCTGTGGGCTTTACCATGTTGATAATCTTCACCAGGCTACTGCTGTCCGTCATGTCCCCATAATGGAGCTTCATCTTTCCGCCCTTGTGCGCCTTGGGATCAGCATAGAGGTGCTCGATGCGTGTAGTATTAAAGGTGCTGGCCCGCCTGATAATCCCATGCACTTCATAGTCCTTCTTGAGCAGGAACTCTGCCAAGTATGAGCCATCCTAGGGAGATGGAGAAAGCGGTAAATGTTTTTAACACGTAGGCAGTGGTTGGTTGCTGAATTCTGACTAATAAATTGGCAATTGGTTACACACCTGGCCAGTTATGCCGGTTATCAGCGCCACTTTATCACGAGATCCGCCTCCATCCCCAGTGCCGTCTGCCGATCCATTTAAGTCCTTGCTGCTGTTGCTGTTGCTCTCCGATCGTTGTTTCTTGCTTCCACTGGCCCCATCGCACCTCGACATGTTAATCGGAGAAGTTTAATTATTTTACTAAGCCCAAATTCTAGGTTTTCACATCGACGTAGGCGTAGCGTAGTGTAAACAATACTGTTTTATCTATTGTGCAGAGCGTTGCCATCCGTCTGAAAAGTGGCAGACTTGTGATGCCTGGACACTCACAGTGGTTCAAGATGTGTGTAATTTTCTTGTTTATACCTTGGTAAACGAAGGCATATTACTTACAAAACAATATGCCAAAAAAGGATCATATTGATTAATTAGTTACTAAAATAGGATAAGCAATCAGTCGTTTTAGTCTGTTATTCCTTAAAGTTAAGTGTAAGCGCATTTATTTAAATTCCCGTGTGACCAATTTTAGAGCACTGCTCACCACGGTACAACAGGGTTGCTTAGTCACTAGCACCACGTAGCGCATCCACACTAATTCTGCGGGAAGTAATATCTTATCAGCTCCGATTCCGTGCCGTGCGATTCCCAACCGGGTGCCTTTACTTCTTCCGTGGGTGTTGTTACGTGTGGCTGGCTTTCCATTTCATTTTTCGACTAGCGGCTTGATAAGACCGGTTCCAGCCGCAACTACCGAACAATCAGCGCACCAAAGTACATCGCTTCGTTTGTGATAAAAGGAAAAAAAAAATAAATAAAAAATGACTGATATTATCAGGAAAGGAGCTCTGTTCCTAATGAGCCCAAAGTGTTACGATAACTACTTCCTGGAGCACGACTTTTTGGACAGTAAGTTGGCTGGCATCATAATTGAAGGAGAATATTTTTAAACTATTAAACTCTGTTTGCAGTTCCCTGTTTCAAGGCCTTGCTGAGCAAGGGACTTGGACTGGCTATCATTGCCGGGTCAGTGCTCGTTAAGGTCCCCCAGGTGCTGAAAATCCTCAGTAACAAGTCCGGCGAAGGCATCAACATAGTGGGCGTCATGCTGGATCTCTTGGCTATCTCGTTTCACATGTCCTATAGCTTCATGAACGGTTATCCCTTCAGTGCCTGGGGCGATAATACCTTCCTGGCGATTCAAACAGTGACGATTGCGGTCTTGGTCTTGTATTTCAGCGGTCGCAAGGCTCAGTCAGTGGTATTTCTAATGGCATATGCAACACTTTTGTACGTGCTCAACTCTGGCTTGACACCAATGAAGGCATTGCTCACCATCCAGAGCTGCAACATTCCCATTCTGTTGGTGGGTAAGCTGTCGCAGGCGTACACCAACTACAGGGCTGGATCTACCGGCCAATTGTCAGCCGCCACATGCATCATGATGTTTGCCGGATCGGTGGCTCGAATCTTCACCTCCATTCAGGAGACTGGCGATCAAATGATGATTATTACCTTCTGCGCCTCCACATTCGCCAATGGAGTTATTGTCTCACAGCTGATTTACTACTGGGACAAACCTGCTGGCGCACAGGCCGTCAAGGCAAAGGTCAAGAAGCCCAAAAGCAAGAAGGTCGATTAGAGATTAGAATTAAAATACCTCGAAGCTCTTGAGTTGGAACATTTTCTCGACATTGTAGAACAAATATTGAAAGATTAAATAAATTCATTCTTAGTTTATGGAAAGCAAAGTCTTAGTTTTAGTTGTCTTCGGCCTCGAAGTGCTTCTGCAGCAATGCCAAGGCGCGATATCGGTGCGAGATTGTGTTTTTCTCCGACTTGGGCAGCTCGGCATAGGTCTTTTCATAGCCCTTTGGCTGGAACACGGGATCCCTGAATCAGAAGATCATTACAACTGTGAATAATATTGTTTATAATCAATCGTTTTAATGACTCACCATCCAAAGTCCCTGGGGCCACGCGGCTCTACGATCACACCCTCTGTAACGCCCTTAAACAGCTTCGGCTCTGCATCGGCGCCATCGCAATAAGCAAAGGTGCACACTGCCTCGGCGGACTTATCTTCCCATCCGGCAAGTAGCCTGAACAATCCCTCTGGCTTCAACTTCTCCAAGAACCACTTGATGTACGGCCCTGGCAAGCCCTCTAGAGCGTTGAAGCACAGGCTGGTGTCCTCGACCAACACTGGACCATTCACGCGACGCGCCGCCTCCTTGCATTTCTTCACAGCTATCTCATCAATCTCGCCTGTAAGTTATACTCTTTAGAGCACTCATACACCATAGGGAATTAAAAACCGTGTGGTGTGTAATGCGAACCTTGCAACTCCGGCAAATCCACTTTCTTGGACACGATAGTACGGGGGAAATTGGGGCCCAAGATTGCGATTAATTCCTCCAGCTTCTTGGCGTTGCCCGTAACAAAGGTAATTGGTTTCGACATGACTCGCCTATTGTTGGAGTCAATTGAAACAATTTATAATTTGGAGAGAAGAGATTTGTGTGTTTGGTGACGCCGGTGCGTCGCGTGCTTTGTGGAAACAGCTGATTTCGGCTTGTTGGCGCCAAAGTTGTTACGCATTCAAAATTTGTTCAGATTTCGACTTTTCTATAATAAAATCAATCACACGAAATGGAAGATTTAAGTAGCCTTCCTAGTAGAGTAGGTTTTATTCAATGTATTGTTACTTATATTTAAGACAGCATTTTTTGTTTGTGTGGAGCTTTTGGGTATGGGGGATGCGGAGTAAGGGGCAGGGGTACGGGGCCAGAGACCAATTAAATGAATGTTTAAATGAAAAGTGCGTTGCGCTGCTTGATTTGGACAGACAGAGGACAGAGTGATGGAGTCTAGTCGTCCAGCGTGAGATGCACATTTGCCGAGGGATGCAGTCCGAGATCTTTCAGCGAGCTCTGGTTGTGCTCCGCCTCGAGCGACTTGCGCGGAAAGGCGCAGATGAGCTTGTAGCCCTCTTGTGGGATGTGCTTGTGCGTTTGGAGAATGTATAGACGCAGGGTCTGAAGCTTGGTGTCCGAGGGCCAGCGGAGCTGAACAATTTCATCGGCGCCCAGAGCATTCAACAGACGCAGCTTTAAAGTGGTCACCTCTTCCGTGGCTTCGCCCAGCTGAGTTTCGTAGGAGGTGGCGGCAGCTGCAGCCACTTTGAGCTCGTCATCGTCGAATTCCTCTAGGCTCTCGGCATCACTGGCCTGGCCATCCACCTTGTTGGCGTCTCCATTTTCGTTCATCGAATTCTTGATGGCCAGCTCGAGCTGCTCTTCCTCGGTGAGCTCCAGCAACTTGGCTCGCTTCTTTGGCGTTCCGCGAGAACTGGCCGACGAGCACGAGGCCTCGGCATCCAGGTCCACGTCCTCGATATCATCGTCCTCAATGTTCGTGGCGGCTCGTTTCGAAGAAGTACTGGGAGCTTCTTCGTGGGTAAAGTCGCGGTGCTCTCGCAGAAATTGCCTCAAATCAGACAGAACATTCTCCTGAGTGGGCTCAGGGCTGCGCCAAACCTCCTCGCCAGTGCGGGGATCAATGATGCACAGATACGGCAGCTTTGCGCAGTGATAAAAGGCCACAAAGCGGCGTCCCTCGGAGGTGTCGTTGTCCACCTGCCAGAACGTGAATTGACGCCTTACCAACTTCTTCAGATCCTTGTTTGACCAGACATCGCGGTTCATGGTCTGCGACTGAAAATTATCCCCTTGTACGTTAACCAGCAACCATCGCTGCCGCTTGGTGGCGAACTCGCGGGCCGCCGTCAATGTTCCGGAATAGAGTATGTCTGTGGGGGGGCGGAATAGATCACCAAGGCGGGATGTGGTGGTGGCTGTGGCCGCACCGGAGCGTGAATTTAGCGCGATGGCCTGTCCGGCGACCACCATTTGGGCGGAGCGTTCACGACGCCTTCGATGGGCGCCGGGATCCGAGTAAGCGCCTGTGGCCTGCAGTTGCTCCTCCATCAGGGCTGCCTCTCGGGCAAAGTCACGGAGAGGACAGACCTTCTGCCGCTGCGAGACACGCGACAGCCGGTTGCCGTTGCTGCCACCGGACGCAAAGAAGTTGTCGTCTTCTGGCAGTAATAGCTGTTCCCTTATCGGAGCTATGGGAGCACGCACCTCGTCTTCATCGTCCAGTATTGGCAATGAAGGACCCGCGCTAGTCGATGATGTCGAGGCAGCCGAAGCACCACCCTGCTCGAAAAACAGGGCCACCGCGGCTGCCACATCGTTGGCACAGGCTCCCAAATAGTGTTTGGCTTCATCCGCAGTGCATGCCGTGATTTCCACAACCTGCTTCACCAGCTCGTCTGGTGAATCGCTAGTGGACATTTTGTCTCCTTAATAGTTAATACTTTGCAATTTTAGTTTTTAAGTTGTCGCCAGTGTGACCGCAGATTATCGATCAAATATACCGCAAGACCCTCAAAAGGATAACGAAATATTCTCAGTTTTAGAATATACCGAATCCAAAACACAATGCTCGTCGATTTTTTTTGCGCCAAAACTATCATTTTATCTTATTGATATATCAATTCTCCAGAGATTTAGAAGTTTTCATTACATTTTTGTCAAAAGAAAACAGGGATGATTTCTTATCTTTTCCATACGACCCTACTGTCTGCGAACAATTTTAATTTATACAGATCGTGTTTAACATCAAATTCCTGACACTATGCCTTCAAAATCTCAAAACAAAATATTGCCAAACAGGGCTTGTAAAAAGTGTATGCAAGAGCTACGGCGAAACTTGTCAAAATTTGTCATTTCCATTTCCTCGTCAGGTGTCTTTGTCGCTAATTACATAGATATGTAGTAAATATGTAGCAAGTGCGTAGTTACCGTATAGTCTTCTGGTAAACATGTAATTTTTAATAATGTTTGATTAAACCGATTATGATTAAACCTTTTAAGATGAATAATAAAATAAAAATGAGTACTTAAAATTTGCACATCTTTTGGGAAACTAATTAATTTTTCGTAAACAATTGTATATTCAGTGCTGAAGTTTCTATCTAGCCAGTAATCGTAAGCCGAATATTAAAATCGAAGAATATCAACGCATTCATTCTTCAAACCTTCAGGCGCAGACCAGACAGCTGGCCGTTGTGTCCGTCGTCGGCCGCTCAGCTTTTGCTTTTGCAACTTTATCGTGCGCTTTTTCTACTTGAGTGTACGTACAAACATGAATGACTAATAGACTTGTAAATCAACCGACTTCTCAAAGTGCACGTGAATATGTGAGGCTCGGGCCCACAGCTGGGATTAGTTAAGCGCACTCGCGAGTTTTCCAATTGATCTGTGTGCCTGGTGCACCAAAGATTCACATACAAAGGACAGCGAGAAAAAAAAATATTGAAAGTGAATCCCATTTGCTGCCGCCCAGTGCCTCCTACTAACTCCCAACGAACGAAGATATGCTGCGCGGACGTTGAATTTTCAGTGCGACCGATTCTGAGGTGCCTGCGACTCGGCTCATTTGTTTATTTGGTCATCTCCGTCTCTCCGACAACGCCGTCTTCCATTTGCATACGCTGCTGACGTTGCTAAAATGGTCTCGCTGATAAAGAACCAATTGCTCAAGCATTTGTCCATGTAAGTGTTGGCTGGCTCTCTCCCAGACGGGTTTGGTTTACGTGAAACCGAATTATAAATATTGTTGCTGCAGTTGCGTTGGTGGCACAGTAATCTAAAGCTCTTGAGGTCAGCGGGCGGACGCCAGAGCTACTGGAAACTCAATTGATTTTTCCCAAGCGTTTGCCTGCGTCTGTACATGTCCATATATATTCTTTTGCAGCTTCCCACCCCTTCTACCTGTATTCGTCACCTGTCGGCCAACTTTCTGCCCGCTTTTATGTCTTCTTTATCGTTTATGGCTTAGTTTCCACCACTCCCGCACTTATTCTTTGCCTGCCAGCACCCACCCCAGTGTGGAGGTAGCTCCTGGCGTAACAAGTGGATTGCCAATTCTCCCCCACGAACTTTTGGTTTCGCTCTCTGTCTCCTGTGTTTTTATTGCTTACGGCGTCTTGCAAGCTGTTTACCGCAATATGGTTTACTTCAGGAATTATACGATAGCCAGGTCGAGGGCACTGTGACTTTGACTGTGTACACATATACATACATATGTACACACATACATACATACATTGCAGTTATGGAATTATTATTACAGTTGTGTCGTTACGGTTTAAGGAACTGTTCTGGGGTATTCCTTAGTCCGCGTATCGTGCACAAATGTAAAAAAATGTGTACATTGCCCTGCCAGCTCCCTTAACAATAGCTTATTTACATATAACCAAGTACATATGTACATATGTTATACATATCCATATTTGTACACACACCAACACAAGTGCTGGGGTTTTTTGTTTTGTTTTGGCAATGTCTTGGTCCTTTGTGTTCCATCTTCTCATCTTATTTTCCACGCAATTAAGCTGCAAACAAGCCAACAAGGCCAAAATGCAGAGTAAACTTGTTGTCCCGTAATTCCCCATCCCAAACCGTAACATTATTTTAAAGAAAAGTAAAAAAAAGCCTTTCTAATCCATTGCCCTTGAGGGTGTTATCATTTTGGGCCAGAATTTGGACACACTTTGAAGGCGGAAACTCATTTGCTCATTTTCGTAGGATATTTTAGACTTCGGTGAGACGAAAGTTAGTCAAAGTTGTTAAGTAACAAGTTGTCTTTTAATAGAATCAACTTTTCCTCGAGTAACTCCGCT